AGCATAATCTAGGGTTTCAGAAGTGTAGAAGTGAGATTTAGTCTGTAGCATGTAGAAGTTTTTAATGTTCATATTGTCAGATTAGCATCACATTTAAATGTTGAGCTACAGTCCATAGAGCTTGGAATTTCAGACATTGTTTCTATTATGCTTTGAATAGAAACAGTCAAAGAATAGATCGGGAAGCCAGCAGGCATTTGACATCTGAGCAAAAAATAAGTGTGTTTAGCTCTCTTATTTTTCTTTCTTTCTTTGTGAGCAACGGCTAGGATGATTTTTGTCTTTTTTATAATTCCAAAGAAATACTGCTTCCTCATTTAATTCTTCTTATTTGTGTGCAGTAGTGAAATACGATCTTTTTCTACTTTTTCTGAAATTTTCACACATGAAGTCCATACATCTCACTTTCAATAGCTTCATGCCTTCAACTAAATAATATTAAAACAAACTTGTTTGTACACTAGTGTTTTGTAACTGAAATTGCCATCGTTATTGTGGAAGTACTGCACTGAGTCTTGGCTAACATACATTCAGGTATTTATTTACCTTTCTAGTATAGAATCTTCCTTTCCCCCAAATTGTACATAACAGCATGTGAAGTATTTTTAACACTGTTCATTAAATGAAGGGAGCACATCACAGGAGAAATTAAAGCAGAACTAGAATCAAAAAATAATACATAGCAGGATAGTTGCACAAAACTAATGTTTTAATTATCAGAGTCAGTACACTAAATTTGACATGGAGTGTAGCAGTGTGACAATGCCTGTCTGTGAGTTGTTGCAGTCCTATCATTATGAAACAAGCAGATATGACTTCCATTCTGAGGAGCAGAGAGATGAGGGGAAGGGTGGGCATAGGATCAAATCATAGTGACTTAGTGATTTTCTTTGGTAAACTAATCAATCTTAGTAGCCTTTGTAAAAGCCATTTTCTAGAGTATCTGTTGCCAGCATCATCTTTCATCGAACCTACAGTGAACATGGCAGCTGTGGCATTTTACTGGCTGCTTAAAAAAGCTAAAGATGACTGGAAAACCAGAAGGAATGAATTCTGGTCTTCATAGGTAAGACCAGAATTGCAGTGTTGGTCTATATAGATTTATGTGAACAGTGGCAAGAACCACACTGTATCCTCTGCTGTCCTAATCATCTAAATCTGAAGTGTTTCTCCCTGTGGGCTCATTTTAGAGAAATCCATAAAGTAAGCTCCAGGCTCAATTTAATGTTTGAATATGACAGTGACACAACATGGCATTTTTCAAGTGAGAAGCCTGTAAGATGTGTCTGAAGGCAGATATGACCAATTTACTGAAAGCTAATAAATTGACCTGTGCTCCCTTGTGCCTGTTTGCATGCTCTTAATAGTGGTGCTTAGCAGGTAGCTTACACTTTTTTCCTTAAAGAATAATCTTTCTTGCATTTACCACATAGTAAGAGCATGCATGCAGTAGATGTTGTTCTACATCAGATGTGTGCTAAATTCATGTCCTCTCTTATTTTGCAGTAACATGTATATCTCTTTGTATTACAAGGCATAACTCCTTTTAACAACCTTTTAATTATACTTACTGTAGGCAGAAGATCGGATATGTTCTTTTTCTTTCAGAGGTTGGAAATGGTTATATATGAAAAAATACATGCTGTAACAGTGCAAGCATAAAGCAAGCTGTATATTCTGGCCAGTCTAAATAACTGCAAGTACACGTTGCAGTCATTGACACACAAGAATGAAGTGATAGCAGCTGCCCCAGCATGCGTTCCTTGATGCTTTAAGAGTTTATTTTGTGGTTATATCAACCGTATACGTAAGGCTTATCTGGATTCATGTTGTACTTGAATTAGTCATCCCACCTAGAGTGCTCGGACACACCCAGTTGCCTCTGCAGCATGCGCTCTCTGCAGTCAAATATTTCTGCATCCAATGCATCCAGTGTTATCCAGATTATCTCCCCATTAGTTTGGGTATTGGAGATTTCACCAAGGGTCTGTATTGTGTGTATAAACACACCTCTCAGTTCCTTGATCAACATGGTATTCCTGTTTTAATGATGAAGTAGCTGAGGTCTTCTGATCAGTGTTTTCAAACGTTATAAAACAGTTTCCAACAAATTACTGTTTTTCCCTTTCTTTGTCATCTGTAGACTCTGTATGTCTCTGGATTTATAGATGCATGAAGGGCAAAGTATTGTTTCCAGAACTATATATGTTTTACTCCTATAAAAGGAGTAGGTTTTGGTGTTCTGTGGTAGCTTCGGAATTTTTGAGTAATCAAATCTTCTTAGCTTTGATTTTTTTTGGCAGGTTCAGAGAAACATTTTAGTTGGTGTTTTTCTCCCTAGAAGTTACGAGAGTGTCAAAAGCAGTGCCCAAGGTGAAAAGAGTGAGATCAGCCATTGAAAATGTTTGTGGTGAAGGAACCTCTTGACTTCACACCTTAATGTTGGTGATACGGGAAGTGTCTGTCTGAGCCTCAAGGCCTTGGACTGCCATTTTGGGAGGCAAGGAGTTAGCTGGGGATGGAAAAACTGGAGTTTGTATTCTTTCTGCTCCGTTACCCGTTGCTATCTTCATGGATCTGACACTCTGTTTATCTGACAGTGCACTCAGTACTGCTTCGCCAGGGAAAATTGCACAAAACAAGCCCAATGCATCAGCATTTTCATTGTGTATTAAGCTGAGCCTCCTTTCACATGGTCACATCCCCTTTTTAATCTGGGATTCCATGTCCCTTTGCCAGTCCAGCCTGTTTCTGTGGTGTCTGTTGCTGGTCTCCCTGAGCTTTCCTGTGGTTTGAGTGTTTTTTGTGTAGCTGAGTGTTAAGACCTGCAGGACTTTTGGAAGTGGCGTTGTTTGGGGGTTAGGCAATACACTGATTTAGTGTTAGTAGTTTGTCACAGACTGAGGTGATGGCTGCGTTCAAGTTGGATTTCCTCCCAGAGATGATGGTGGACCATTGCTCCTTGAATGCTAGCCCTGTGTAAGTATTTTGTCTTCGTGTCTAAGTTTATAACTAAAATGATAGTTGGAATTGCTGTCTCTGAAGCCTCTACTGTGTGATGAACTCTCCTTGAGGAGGGAAAAAAGAGAGATAGGAGAGCCTGCAGTTTGTTTTCTTGAAGAAATCCTAGTGGGCATTGACTGTGGCTTCTGGATGGGAGGAAAAGATGATCTGATAACTTTGGGGATGAGGGCTAAGGAGGAATAAAGCTGTTTGGGACTGTTTGTAGTAGCACCTGTAGGTGCTGATATTATAAAATCAGTGATTTAAATTGATTGTTGGGAGACCAGTTTCTCTTCTTCCCTCTTAGGGACTCCAGGCTAAACCTTTTAAATAGTAATGAAAGATTCCTTGAATACTGTTGAGGTCCTGTTAAGAGTTGCCCAGTTACAGGAGCCGTGCTATGCTCTTGGAGCTACCCATGGCATGGAAGGTAGGGCTGAAAATTGTTGTTGGAAGAGGGTAAATGATTTCCAGTTGTTCTCAACTGGAATGAAAAGAGATAGTTTACCTCTTTGTAAAAGGTACTGTTTGCCTTGGCTATTTGGAGAGATGCTGACCCTTTCTGAGTGGAAAGGTAGAGAGAAGTGAAAGGTTTTATGATGATTCCCTTCCCTTCTGGTAGGAAGCTTTGTTGTTTCTGAGGTTTGTTCATACAGTTATAAAATTGAGCTTTCTCTGGCATCAGTTTTTCTTTAGGCTCTGAACAGCAGCATATTGAGGGAAAAAATTAACTAAACATTACCTGGGTAGGACTTTTTTTAATTCTATTCAAGGGGGAGTATGATTGCAGATGGACCGTGAGAGGAACACTGTTTACTGTAATGTGCAATTAATAAGCCATTCAAAAACAATCTTGAAGAAAGCAGAGGTGAAGAGAGCTGACTACTCTGCAAGATGGCCACCTGTATTCTTCAACAAAGAGTTTGGGGGCAGCGGGAATCATTGTGTAGTTACTATTCCACTCCCCATGTCCTTTCTAGATTATGCAGGAGTTGGTCAGCAATTTTAACCTACTAATCACTATAGGTACAATAGGATGTCATTACAGTCAGTCTTCCACAGTGGTAGGTCCTGTGTTATACCAGGCTGTGACTACCAATAACGAGACCTCACATTGTACTTGACAAACGCTGAGGAGTCAATACAGAAAGCAATGTATCACTGTCAACTAGCTGGGTGGAGTATAACACAATTAATAGGCTGTAAACTGTTCATATGGCTAGATGTAATGCCTTGAAGCCTACTGAAGATTCCCATACTCAAAACTTCTGTGTTGTTGTAGTCAAAGAAGTGACGACTTTTCTGTTAACACCCTACCATTACTCAACTTGATTCAGTCTGTGACTAGCTAGATTGTCCATTCCCAACCTGTTCATGTACAACCTAAGCCAGTTTTTCTGCCAAATATTGTTGAAAGCTCCCTAGTTTCACAAAGAGGTTTTGCATTGTAAGCCTTTAATGAAACTTCTCATCCATTCAGTTGTATCTGTTTCGAGATGGATCTTCATCCTGAGAAACAGTTCCAGATAGTCACATTTAAAAACAATGACAAACATGTTATCCTCTGATTTCCAGTGATTCCTGATAGCTTCAGTAGTCTGTGGGTAGACTGAGTTTAGGTTCCTTCTGTAAAATTTTACATGGTTGAACTAGTGATATTTTTCAGTTATCTCAACCAGTTTATGTCCAGCGTCCCGGATGTTGATTACATTATAGGAACAAATGTTAAGAGAAGTTTTAAACAGCTATGTAGAGAGTGTTTGGTTTCCAAGTACACAGCTTGCCAGTGAATGTGAATGATGCTTCTGAATATTCTCTGGTATGCAGGACTGGGGATGTGCAAGAGTGTCTCTTTATATGTGTGTTTCAATTGTATACATTAATATATGTGTAGAAATATATATTTTTTAATGTTGCTGTGAGCATTCTTCTAGGTGGAATAGCATGTAGAATTAGTGGAAAGATACAAACTAGAAATTCCTTCTTGTTTTTTGTAGCTCAAAGAAAATGAATGGCACACTGGATCACCCAGACCAACCTGACCTAGATGCTATCAAGATGTTTGTGGGTCAGGTCCCACGGAGCTGGTGTGAGAAGGATCTAAGAGAACTTTTTGAACAGTATGGTGCTGTTTATGAAATAAACGTCTTGAGGGACAGGAGCCAAAACCCTCCACAAAGCAAAGGTGAGAACTTCTGTACTTCTCATGTGAGACTTGGGGTCTCAGCTGCCTTCACATAGTTACAATCTTAGCTGTTTGCATATCCAAACATCCCTGTGTATTGGAGCTCTGTGTGACCAGGCATGCATGCAAGCCCGTTCTTTACAGTCTTGAAGTATATGTGTCTGATTATACGTGGACTGTGATCCAGTCATTAGCTGAGCTGAGGAAAATCTTTATGTTTTTTTTTTTAAGCTCAGAAGTGATGAGGATGCTTGAGGAGTATGGATTATAATTGCAAAGCAGAATATCAAATTAATATTGTGTTGCTCCAGAGCATCATTGTGATGCTATGATATGATCAAAATATTGCTGGAAGTGTCACAGTTTCAGATTAAATATAAAATTGAGGTCTTAGTCATTTGTGTGCCTCAGATACTTGTGTACATCAAATCCTAACTAAATGTTGTACCTGGATTTGCAGTTCAGTTATATGCAATATCTTGTTTCCTGTGAAACTAGGTAAGTTTTTGGTACTGGCAAATAATTGTTAAGTTTCATCATGGAAGTAGCCAACGATTATTTAGCGGATATATCTAAATGTTTGTTTTAATGGTGTATTGGTGATGTTAGGTCAGTTCTGAATATATCCTATTTTATTACACTTAGAAATCTTTTTTTAAACAGTCAAAATCAGTAGTACCTACCTATTTCAATGCTTAACATCTTCTACTTGTCATGCATTTTTCATTGGAAGGGTGGAAGCAGGACTTGCAATTTCTGTACAGTAGGTCAAGATTCCTAGTGTTCTTTCTTGGCTAACATTTTGTTTCAATTGCAGGGTGCTGTTTTGTTACATTTTATACCCGAAAAGCTGCACTAGAAGCACAGAATGCTCTTCACAACATGAAGATCCTCCCAGGGGTAAGAGTAGAGCCATGCTTTTTTCTCAACTCTGTCTTGTTTTTCTGAGCTCTGACACCGCTGGAGTACAAATACATGTTATTTTGCCCTCAAATAATATTTTAAAAGATCTATTCAAAAGGACAGTGTCATGAGATTTGTATGATAACATCTTATGGGAATTCTGGAGCATTTGGCTGAATAATACGGTCATTAAGTGGGTGGGCATGGCTCCTATAATACTCTCTGAGGAGGAATGATGGCGTATCATTAGGAAAGCTTTTCTTTCTTCTAGAAATTTATGTATTGTCACATATGCACTTCCGTAGAGGCAATTTAGGCTACCATTTCTTTCTTCCACAATTCTCATGGGATGTATTTCATATAAAGCGAATGCATCTAGGATTAAATAATCTTTTTATGTTTCAGATGCACCATCCTATCCAGATGAAACCAGCTGACAGTGAAAAGAGTAATGGTAAGCTTTACTAAAGTCTGAGTTTGCTGGCATCATTTGTGCTAATAGGAAACCTTGAGGATTTTCCTTTTGTTGAACAGCTTCTGATGAAGTGTTCTCAAATTGGAGACCTGATTTTTTTAAAGGGGGGAGGGGAAGGTGTGTTTTCAGTATAGTAGGTAGGGTAAGTGATGTTTCTAAAATTCCATGACTCAGTATCTCCCACTGCTGTTGCTTATGATAGAACCATGTTGTCAGTTAGGGAAACATCCAGTGAGTTGTTCTTTGTACTAAGGTGGTTTAAATCTTTGTTGGGGACGTTGACAGTGGGATTGAGTGCACCCTCAGCAAGTTTGTGGATAACACCAAGCTGAGTGCTGTGGATGATACCCTAGAGGGAAGGGATGCCATCCAGGGAGACCTTGGAGACTAGAGAGGTGGGCCCGTGCAAATCTCATGAAGTTCAACAAGGCCAGGTGCAAGGTCTGGCATCCTGGCTCAGGGCCATCCCAAACATGGATACAGGCTGAGCAGTGAGCGGATTGAGAGCCGCACTGTGGAGAAGGGACTTGGGGATACTGATGGATGAATAACTGAATATAAGCTAGCAAAGTGCACTTGCAGCCCAGAAAGCCAGTTGTATCATGGACTGCATTGAAAGAAGGGCTAATAGGTCGAAGGAGGTGGTTCTCCTACTCTGTGTTGCTCTCATGAGACTCCACCTGGAATACTGTGTTCAGCTGTGGGGCCTCCAGCATAAGAAAGACGTGGACCTGCTCAAGCAGGTCCAGAGGTGATCAGGGAGCTGGAGCACATCTGCTGAGAAGGTGACAGGCTGAGAGAGTAGAGGTTGTTCAGCCTGGAGAAGAGAAGGCTCTGGGGAGACCTTATAGCAGCCTTCCAGTACCTGAAGGGGGCTTACAGGAAGGATGGGGAGGGATTCTTTATCAGGGAGTGTAGTGATAGGATGAGGGGTAACAGTTTTAAACTGAAAGAGGGTAGATTTAGATTAGATGTAAGAAAGAAATTCTTTACTCTGAGGGTGGTGAGGCACTGGAACAGGTTGCCCAGAGAAGCTGTGGATGCCCCCTCCCTGGAAGCGTTCAAGGCCAGGCTGGATGGGGCTTGGAGCAACCTGGTCTGGTGGAAGGTGTCCCTGCCTATGGCAGGGGCGTTGGAACAAGATGATATTTACGGTCCTTTCCAACCCAAGCTATTATTTGATACTATGAAATCTAGAAATGCTTTTCAAGTGCTTGACCAATTTGAATCAAGGCGTGTTGCAGCTAGGGTGGGAGTCAAAACTTCTTTTAGTATACAAGGGAGTTTGAGAATTCACAGCAGTTCAGTAGAGAAGAATCTGTGAATATTTCTGTACATTGGCCATTTCAGATGGGTTAAGACATTTAGCATTCACCATTGGGTAAATGATCATTTATCCGTATATTTTCATGATGAGTTTATATACATATATATACATGCTCAAACCTGTATGCGTGTCTATATATATTGCAGCAAGATAGGCAAAGAAGGCATTTAGCATCTTGTAGCTTCAGCCTTTATAGGCTAAGCTGAGGTTTTTTTCATTCATTTGCCATAGTTAATATAAGATTAGTGTTGCATCATGGAGAAGATAATCCTGGTTTCAGAAAGCTTACATCTTAAGATAACTGAAAACAGAAGATGGGATATACGGGTAACATATACCAGCAGTAATTCCACCTGCAGGTTCCTCCATGTGTATACAGAATATGTTTCTTTGTAAATGTATCTAGAAAGGAATGATTCTTTTGAAGGAGGAGAACAGAACAGGTTCTCTAAAGCAGAATTGATCTTGCATTATACACACACATGAATATCCTGGGAAAATCATGGAAAGAGGAAAAAGTATTTAATGGAATTTTAGGGTGACAGTTATGAGGCTATTAGGAAAAAGTATTTGATGGAATTTTAGGGTGACAGTTCTGAGGCTATTATATGAGTTTTAGTAAAAGGTGTAGGTGAAAATATAAATAAGAAAGCGTCAGTTAAACAGTATTTTAACTTGCCATTAATAAAAGGGATTCTGGATCTCTTGAACTAAAATGGACTGCAAAAAGGATTTGAAAGCAGCTTGCTGCTCCAAAAGCTTGAAAGTGAACTGGATACACCATTAAGATTTAATAATCAAAGTCATGTCAGCTGGAATAGTTTGGAATTGTCCTCTTCAGCATCATAGAAGACTCAGCAAATAAGTTGATTTCCCCTCACCATGGCACTAAGTAGAAGACTTTCTCTCTTGAAGCTTCAGATTGTGCTACAGCCATCATCATATTATATTTTATATTGTGCTGAATCTTGTATTTGCCAACTGGTTTATATTTCCAAATGCTATTCTGCATAATTTGCTTCATCCTTTAAAAGCAAGTATTTCAGAGGTGATTAGCATCCTTGAATAAATAAAACGAGGTATAAAGTTGTGCTCTGGATTCAAATTTACTCCACTCCCTTAAGCAACCTTAAACTGACATCAGTAACCACTAACGTAAAAGGTAAGAGAAGTGTCTTTCTGGACTATTTATTTTAAAATAGTCTGCACACTGATAAGTACTCTTCAAATCTAATGTATCTAGTAGCATCAGCATTTAGAGGCAAGATACAGTAGCATACAGTGCATCATTCTGATTTAAGGTGTTATTTTCATGCTTTTGGTGGAGATCAGAATGGATGAAGCTGAAACAGAACTGAAACTGTTCTGTTTTAGCAACTGCTGTTGCCTTCACTATTGAGACACCATGAGGAAATAGGCAGATCTAAATTTAAGTGATTGGCGTGATAAAGAGACTAGAAAGAAGCTTTCTGCAGCTTACTTGCTTGTTTAGATAGTTAGGTATGTTGGTAGTCTAAAGACAGAAGAGACAGAGGAGAGAGGATGAAAATAGTCTAATAAAATACATACAAGTCTTCTCTTGACTCACCAGGAACTGATTGTAGAAGATACAGGGAAGTGCTGAATCTGATCTATTTTTTCCTTTTCTTACGTTCTTGCAGTTCACAGGCCTGCAAGGGAGAAACAGTCAGCAAAGTGTAAACATAAAACATCATAAAACAGGCATCCTTTAGGGACATTGAGGTATCTCGTATGCATCCTCTTAAATTGAAGAGATTCCGTTATCGGGAATCTGGTTTTGACAAGCTCATACCCTAAATACAAGGGATATAACTGCAGTTGGTGGAGAAGACTTGACAAATTAAGATGTAATAAGCACGTATTTGCTGGTAATACTCTTATCCTTTAATTTCTTAGCAGTAGAAGATAGGAAGTTGTTTATTGGAATGATATCCAAGAAGTGCAATGAAAATGATATCCGAGTGATGTTCTCCCCCTTTGGGCAGATTGAAGAATGCAGGATATTACGGGGCCCAGATGGCCTAAGCCGAGGTAAGCAGGGAGCTTTCTGATAGTACAGGGTTCTCCATTGGATGCTGCATTTTGCAACTCAAGGGAGCATTTCAGCTCTTTCTGTTATTTCCCCCACCCCGTAGGCATTTTAATTTCTTTATTCATCCCAGTAATTGTGGATGTAGTGAATGACTTAGTTCCTTTTTGTTCTTTCCCCAGGTTGCGCATTTGTGACTTTTACAACAAGAGCCATGGCACAAACAGCAATCAAAGCAATGCACCAAGCACAAACCATGGAGGTAAAACAAGTTAGTGGGTGTCAGAGGTGTAATTTGTCAGGCAGTCCCTATGGACTTTGGAGGACTAGAGAGAAGAGGGAAGGATAAGTGCAGTGTGTGTTTCTTTGCAAATACTACTCCTAGACCTTTGTGTTTGTTCTGCTCCTATTTTTAGAGCTCAGGCTAGAAACTTCATCTGCAAAGAAAATACCAAAATACAAAATAGAATTAAAAACAAATGAGATTTTGAACCTTTAATGAAATGTGCTGTTTGAATATATATATTTGTATGTATGCATTTAGTGGGAGGGGAATGCTTCCTATGACTGGGTCTTAATGCAATACTTTTGTGACTGCTAGGGATAGCACGTATGTATTTGTTTGAAAACCGTTTGCAGGGTTGCTCTTCTCCCATTGTGGTAAAATTTGCTGATACGCAGAAGGACAAAGAGCAGAAACGAATTGCTCAGCAACTCCAGCAACAGATGCAACAGATCAGTGCTGCCTCGGTATGGGGAAACCTGGCTGGTCTCAACACACTTGGACCCCAGTACTTAGCAGTGAGTTTCTGATTTGGGTTCTTTTAATCTCTTCAGGGATTACAGTGTCTGACTGTCTTGTAGTGTTTAATGTATGTATTTTTAGAGGGCTGCTGATGGATAAGAACAGGGTTCTTATTCCCATTTTGTGGATGAGGAGGCTGAAATGAAGTTACATGCAAACAGCTACTGAGGGTACATTTAAGTGAGGATTTCAACCCGAGTCACTGCAGCCTTAATGAGTGAAACTCTCCCCCCACCCCCCCGTGTTCTGTAGATTTGTGCTGGGAAGATTTTCTTCACATGTTATGGCCTCAGTGTTTACACATATAAATGCCCATTTCGTGTCTATCTGGTGATGTAGCTTTCGTATGCCTCTTCCATTTTTCCTTTTTCAGCCTGTATTTCTCTCATCCCCTTCCAGTGAAACCTAGAGCAGTACTTGGTGCTGTCCAGTTAGAAAAGGTGATCAGGTTGGAAGAGCCAAGCAACTGACAGTGCACAGGGAGGGGGGGGGGGGGAATGACACAACAGAAGGTAGTCTGCTATTTGTAACTGATTTTAATTGATTTTCCTGAGTCCCTAAAGGGTGAACTTTTCATAAACTAATGTGCTCTGGCTCCTGTGGGTTGCCAGAGTAGATATGAGAACTGTACTCATGCAATATAAGGCCTGGGGAACAGAAAAGGAGAATTTCATCAGATTTTTGGTGTGATGTACTGTAGAAGTGGGGACATTCTGTCTTTTACTACTGCTTTAGGTTCGGTAGGTTGGAATTTTTTATAACAGCACCTAGTTAATGGAGAAAGGAATAGGAAATTCCTCTAAATAGCCTTTGAGCTGAGGCTTGAAGTTTCTCTCATGGCTGCTGTGCTTCAGGAAAGTGGAGGGGGTTCCCTTTCACGGTTGCTCTTTGGTTTTGGTATGGCATTTGACATTTTTCCTATGCTGGCAGTGTGTCAGCTGTAAAGCCTGGCTTGAGGTAGTATATCCTTAGGGGTGGCAGTCCTGCCTGAGGTGCTTTGAATAGGAGTTCTCTCTCACTACTGATTCTACTGTTTTTGTCTTGACATATTAGCTGTGAACTTCCCTCAACATAATCAATGTTGAGTGAGGAAAGCATTGTGCTGTTGCTTTGGCTGCAGTGTGATGCGTGGGCAGTGTGGATTTTCACTATGGTGGTGCTCTGGCTGTACTGTGTAAGGGGGATTCTCTTTACGCTTTGCTAAGGTGTGGTGCATGGGCAGTGGGAATTCCCTTTGTGACGGCGCTCTGGCTGTGGTGTGATGCAGTTTCTCCCAGAAGCGGAGCCAGCCCTCACTCTCACTCTTATTTTGTTTTTTGGTGTAATGTCTAGCTTTATTTGCAGCTCCTTCAGCAGACAGCAGCTGCGTCATCTGGAAACCTGAATACATTGAGCAGCCTCCACCCAATGGGAGGTGAGTTTTTTCCAGCAGAAGACAATTTTGGTGCCAAATAAAAGAGGAGAAGGGTAGAGAAAGTAGTCAAAAGGCTTGTAGACACATTAACCTGATTTGAAATAAGTAGTCCGGAGTTTACCCACTCCTTTGGAATGACAGGAATCCTCTGCTACAAGTGTGGATGTTCCTGCTTAATCTTAGTTAAACATTGTCCTCAAGGTAAGTTGTGGTATGCTGGTGATCTCCCCTGCCTCTGGCACTTAAAATTATCTTCCCTTATGGGTACAAAAAGATGGCTCTGTGTATTTGTTTTCATCCAGACTGGTGCATATGTGAAGCATTGTGTTTTGCCGTAAGCACTAATGCATGTGTTTTAATGATAATGAATTTCTAGGTTCCCCCTTTTTAAATTCTTTGTTCTTAAACACATATAAGTGGAAAAAGCAGTATTAGTAGGAATGTGAACTAGTCCTTCGTTCAGGTTCCTTAGTTTCTTCGTTTGAATTATGATTGATTATGCCATTGCTGTTAGGGAAATACCAGCTTAATAGGTATGAGCCGAATTACTTGCTTTGGACTGCTAGTCAGAATGTTCACGGAGTGTAGCAGTACTGGGGCTGCGAATTGATTATCGCTTCTGTCTTCACAGAGTGGAGAATAATAAAACACGTTAGTAATGTCATTCACCACATTCTATAGATTCTTCTGCTGGCAGAAAAACTATAGTTGTAGTTTTAATACAGAATGTTTTTAAGCTTTTAAAATTGCCCCTTGGAGCTGTACGGTAGTTTACAATATTACATGCTGTTTCTGTGCAGAGGTTGATCTGAAAGTGCTAAGAAAGTAAAGTGTCTTTGTACATCTGACTTGTGTTGGTACACCTATCAGTAACAATTACAAGCTTTTGCAAAGTGTTATGTTTTTGATTGTAGGAACTTTGATTTATATTTGCTAAACCTCTTGTTATGTTTACTTTTTTCATGTTAGACCTCTTCAGAGCTTGCCAAAAGCAATTTTTTAAAAATCAGTTTCACTAATATCCTGTGTGGTGGTGATCTATAATATATCTTGTTATGTACATGATACTGTTCCTGCGCCCCCTTCTTGTGTCTGTTTAAAAGCAAGTGGTAATAAAGGAGAAAAAGAGTACAGTAGTTCATGTTAATTGTTATTACTGTAAGGACTGGGGCAGGGAGCAGGGGCTAACTAGGTGAGGTTGTCTGTCAAGTTTCCAGGGTAGTTCTGTCCTCACTATTTAAAAAAAAAAAAACAACCACCCTTTAAAATTGAGAACTCATACATATAAATAGCATGTTGCATGGTGCTTTGAAAGAATTATTCCAGGTCTGTGATTCTTCACAGAAAGAGTTTTGGTTTCCAAGTCCTGTGAATATCTCAGCTGATCTCCTTTCTTGAAATTCATGGAAAGAAAAAATAAGTTGGTAATTAGATCCCAAACTGTATCAGACTTTGTAGACAAAATTTAATCTTGACACTGTTCAAAAGCAGATGGGAAAACAATGTGATGGCAAGAGGACAGGTGCAGTGTGCACATGCCAGACTGCTTCAGAAAGGAGCAAGCTGCTCTGTTCTTCACTAACTCTAACACTTGCACTTTTAACCCTCTGTAGCACAATAAAAAAAAAAAATGCTTTTACAATGGCACCTTGAGAATCTATATAAAGGCAGAATCCTCTTGTTTCAGGCACTAAATGTGATCAGAGAAACAGACCCTGTCACAAAGAGAAAATAATTGAAAAGGATAAAAAAAAAACCAAATTAAATATGCTAAAGATAGTAGAAGATTTTTAGAAAAATTAATATTTTAAACTGCTTTGTCACTTACATTCTTATGTTGTCTGTTTATGTACTTAAATTACAAAACTGAGATTTTAGTAATTTGAGATGTGTGCTGTGTCACTAAGTACTTACTAAGCATCCAGAAGATGAGGTGCCGCATTTGCCTAGGATGTTTTGATGTTGTTATATGAATGGTGATTAGTTTAATTTTGGTTTTAATTTTGTAGGGAAGAATTACTAGGGATTGTCTGATGTAAGATGAAAAGAGGAGAAATGTTAGAATAAGCAAAGGTAGAGGGAAAAAAAAGGGAAATAAGGGAAAAGGGAAGAGAGGCAGAATTGGGAGAATGGAGCTAGCCTACCACCAAAGGATGGCTAAAATACAGAATTCAGAAGAAGTTTGGTATCAATGATGATCCCATGGCAGGAAAAGAGGGCAAAGTGCAGTGTCAGTACTGACCAAATGGTTTCATTCAAAAATTATGACTCAAAATTAAGGTGAGTCAGGTGAGTAAATTGACCGGTAGAAGTTCATCAACACAGGGATACCTTCCTCTTCCTGCAGTATTCCTGGCTGCTTACCCACAACATGCCTGATGTTCCCTATTTTCCTTACTACTTTTGTTTGACCAGCTGACTAGCCTACGCGTACAATGACTGATCTTGTGGTCGGGAGTTGCCACTTAACATTGTCTCACAATTGACTGTTGCTTCTTGGCTGCCAAGGGGACCAAGCAAAATGTGCTGACACTCAGCTGATGGTGGGTTAAAGGTGTGGCTTCATGTCCGCTGTGGTGTGTAGACCTTGAAAGAATTCTGCAGTTATTGCTGTTCCCATATAAAGAGAGTGGAGGGACACAAGAGACGAGGAGGTTATTGGCCTGGTGTCTAGACAAGTTCCCTAGCTTGCATATGAGCCGTCAGACCCTGGCTTAACTCTCAGTTAAAGCTGCTGTGCTTTTGTGACTGGAGAGAGTGCTGCTTGAGAATTTCTGTACTCCAGGTAGTCATGATGCCAGATGTAGACTCTGGTCTTTTACCAAAACTCATCTATCTGGGCAAAAAAACACTTCTTATACCAAAGAGTTATAACAAGGAATTGCAATGTAGAAAAGATCAGTAACTAGTATTAAGCCTGTTTGTTTTTAAGCTCCTTCCTTTACTCCCTTGTGATGTGCTGAGGTTGCTGGATCTGTTAAGTTTGGATGATGGTGACTGTTGTAGAAGAAACTCTGTACATTCTTCAATGTGTTGCAGGACTGAATGCGATGCAATTACAGAATCTGGCTGCATTGGCAGCTGCGGCCAGTGCAGCTCAGAATACACCGAGTGGCACCGCTGCACTCACTTCTTCCAGCAGTCCCCTGAGTGTGCTCACCAGCTCAGGTAAGAGACTGCCTATGCTGTAGCATGTTACAACATGGGTTGCCTTAGGAGTCGTTTCAGGGTAGATGTCACCTGTTTTGTCTGTCCCTTTTTGTCATTTTCATCTTGATTCTATAATAGATAAACAGTTTTACTAATAGATTCACCAGGCTTTGTTTAGGGTAGATATCTTAGCCAGCAGCAAAGGCTTTTTTACCTGCTGTGTTTCTTCCTCCAAATGGTCGCGTTAATTAAGAGTAAAAAGAATTTTTGACGTCATCACAGAATCATAGAATCTTAAATAGCTTGGGTTGGAAGGGACCTTGAGAGGTCATCTAGTCCAGCCCCCCTGCAATGAGCAACGACATCTTCAGCTACATCAGGTTGCTCAGAGCCCCGTCCAACCTGATCTTGAATGTTTCCAGGGATGGGGCAGCTACCACCTCTCTGGGCAACCTGTTCCGCTGTTTCACCACCCTCATTGTAAAAAATGTCTTCCTTATATCCAGTCTAAATCTAATCTCTTTTTAGTTTAAAACCGTCACCCCTTGTCCTGTTGCAATGGGCCCTACTAAAAAGATTGTACCCATCTTTCTTACTAGCCCACTTTAAGTACTGAAAGGCCCCAATAAGGTCTCCCTGCAGTAGAAGCAGAAGGGTAGATGACCTCTTTCTCATCACATACTCAGTTTATCTGTGATTTTAGGTAGGTACTGTGACAGATGTACCCTGCTCCTCCGGACTTGGAGACAGTACAGTTTATATTCCTCTGGCATTAATGAAGATAAGAATACTATAACTACCTCATAGAAGTACAATAAACAGACCCCTAGCACATTTATTGGAAAGCAGTTGACTAGAACTGAATGTATGAGTTGCACATAAAAATCAGCATCTTGTTCTTCTTGTTCTTCTGGATTTTTTTTGTGGTTTGTTGGTTTGTGGAGTTTTTTTTTCACTTTAGGTTATGTACATTATCCAGAGAAGCAGAGGCTAGAATGTCCAAGTAGTGTTCTTTTGCTGCCTTTTTGTTAAATGTGATCATTAAATGCAACAAATAAGAAAACAAAAATAAATAGTGCTTACATCAGACATGCTCAGTATTTACCAGAAGTGAGGATCGGTATCCTACTCAATTATTTCTATCATGTTTTCAGTTGTTTCTAAATCCAGACGTGGGAAGGGAGACCCTGTATTTTCAGGTTGTCAGTTTTCCACCACGTACAGCATGGTGTGTGGTTTTGGATTTGGGTTTTTTGTTTTTCATAAAAAGCCGAATTGCTTATCCAGTTTTGAATCCAGCCTACAGAGCTGATATCCTCACCTGTGATTGTGAGAGACCAAAGGGGACTGGGAGTGTTTTGAAGTTCCACAAGTAGCTTTTTGTATTCCGCAGGAGGACCAAGGAGCTGCACTAAGAGATTGTAAAGAGATTATAAGGAAAAGCCGTTTAGAAAACATTATGTCATGTGATCAGGAGTGTGGGTGCTTTGCACATTTTTCTACTTAGAGAAATCCCTAAGAAAATTCAGTTCAATGAGTGTTCTGTTGCTGAACAGGGGGTTTTTTACATAAAAACTTTGTGGTCTGCAGTCCTTAAAGATCAAACAGACTTTCTCTTGACTCCCAGCTATGGTATCCTATTCCATAAGTAAAAAAAACACCAACAACAAAGAGTTGAGGCTGTAGAAGAGCTGCGTTTGTAACCCACTAATGCTTCCTCATTGTAGAGAAAGCATAAAGGTGAATATATTTGAGAATATTTTGTCCCATATTTCCTTATGCAGTAGCAGAGCTGGAATTGCCAGGTTACAGTATGCCATGACTGGCGTTTAGAACTAAGATTTCCTTGTTGGCGCTCTCGTCTACTGACTGGAGCAAGTTTGTTCTCTAATTTGTTGAGGTGAGGAAAGGGACTGGCAGGTTGTGAAGTTCTCAAATGCCAGACATGCTGGAAAAGGCAGAGACAGCCTCTGCTCAGAAGTGTACAGTGAAAGGACAAGGGCAGTGGGCACAGGTTGCAACAGAGAAAATTCTGACTGGATATAAAAGGGAATATAATTAATGGAGAGAGTGATTAAGCTCAGGCACCTGGTGCCAAAGGGGCTGTGGAATCTCCATCATTTCAGAGATTCAGAATGCAATTGGAGAGGACCCTGAACTGGCTGACCTAACTTAGAGGTTATAGCAGCTCCGAGCAGACTATTAGGCTAGATGACCCACAGAGGTCCCTTTCAACTTAAGTTATGCTACTGTTGTGTGATTCTTTGGGATTGGTTTCCCCTCTGTGAATTTTGGCTGTTCCACAGCACTCTGCAGGTTTGTTTTCCCTTGATGAGGGACATACCCCAAGACTCTTGTTCCGCTTTTGATCATGCTGGTGGAGGGGCTAGGGGGTGGGAAGCAGTCCATTTTTAAGTACCTTCTGTACTGAATCCAAACATCTTTGTGATTGCCAGTCATATCAATAAGTGATTGTGTGTCAGCAATCAAGTAAACGTGATGGGTCATTTGAATTAATATCCTATACAGATTTATCAGTCAGTTTACTCTTCACAGGCTCGTAACATGAAGCAGTCACTATTATATTGCTCTTTAAAATTATACTTGAAATGAAGTTTAATGAGTAGAGATTGGCTTTGTTCAAAAGAATTAGAAAGTTCTGCAGGATATGTGGTCTATATGTAGTCACTGACATCAAACTCTGAAACAGTTTTAGTGCTTTTCATTAGAGGCATGAATATGCTTAATCTTTTAAAACTGTACTTAAACTGGGAAGAGGGGAAGTGTACAGACAGCATTCAATCTCATGATACTTCCTGTAACTATACAGCTTTTTAGCTCTTTACTCTGAACAAGCTATTGTCTATTATAAAAGCAAACTTGAAATTCTCTTTTGATTAGTATCTATATGTGCATTCACACTGTGTGCATCCATATAGAAGGCTCTTGGACTCCATGCATTCAGAGCATCCCTTCTGAACCATACCTAGACCTTGAAAAAGTTCAGTATGTAGCTGTTCAGTACCATGTGTTAGTAAACGCCTGCCTTGTGTGTGGGACATACAGCAGCATCTACTGTAATAACCTCTTAAACCTAACTGCAAATGAGATGGCTACTGGTTTGACTTCTATCCATCTGTTATCCACATGTTCACCTGATGCTTATTTGGACACCTCTCTCAGATGGTCCTCAAATTGCATAATTGGTGGAAAAATCCAGACAATCATTATGCACAGTTATTTTTTTGATTTTTTTTTTTTTTTCTCCCCATCTGCACTGATACCTGTTGTGTTTGGGGAACTTGGAAGTGCACACATTCCAGAGTCTGTGGTCTATAGATAGATTACATGTCAAAATGGTTGAAGTTGGAGGTGTGAAGTATTGTTGTTGTGTTGTCTTCCTACTCATTTCAGACTATTTTGTTTAGATATTTCAAAGTAGTGTTGTGTGCTTTGATGTAGAATAGGATGGAGCAAACCTTTCAACTTTGCAATAAAGCAGGTACTCTTTGGATCTGAACAGACTGCTGCTGCATCTGACCATAGGTAATCCATGTGGCAGTCATTTAAACCTCTAGCTTGTGAAAGGGCCATTCAGGAAAATATTATACAAGTATTTCAGGACTGGAGTGTCTTGTCTGCCATGTTTTCAACTCAGACATCAGTGAGAACTGTCTGCTCCAGAGCATAATAGAATGTCTGCAAAAGATGATGTATGTTTCCATTTCTTCTTCTTTCAAAGGCAACCGTCACAGGTCCAACAAAGCCTAGATGACTTTGCTGCCCTTAGTGTGTTTCCAGCCAAATTGCTTTCAGAGACATCATAGTCTTTCTGCTTTTACTGGAACTAATTCTGATGCAGTTCAGTCAGATTCATTGCCTGAATTTTAGTGCCCTTTAGCTCATTGCTTGGATGCTAGATGACTGAATTGGAACAGACTTACTGTTCCCTCAGTTTACCTACCTCCACAAGTTGGTAGTTGATATCCTTGTCCAAGTTTCGTTATCTTTCCTAGCTATTTTTTACTACATATTCAAATTTTCTGAAAACCTTTTCAAGTATTTTCAGTGAGTTCTCTTAGAGTTAGCCTTTTTGACTAGATACACCTCAGTAGATAGATCTAAGAAAACATAACCTCGTTAGCAAGTGGGGAAAGAAAAAATGAACAATCCACCAATAACTGAACAGAAACAATGTGAAGAATTAGGGATGGAGTAAGGAACATGTATAAAGCTACACTGGTTTTCCATCCCCATTACTATGTGGGATTTTTCTGATCTAAAATAATACATAAAAAACAGAAAGGATGACTAGAACTGTGGAACTCCTTCTCTATTAGGACCAACAAGGGAACCTGAAAAATAGAAGGCTGACATGGGAGGAGGATATCGTTAGATATTTCAAGACAAGAATTACAGGATATCAGGTGAAGTAGTCAGCTGACAGTTCAAAAATAAGAAGAGCTATTTCTTTGCATAGTGCATGATTAAATTACAGAACTTGTGCCTTATAACATAGTAGAGTCAAAAAATTTGGTGTTCAAAATGCACTGAAATTATAACTTTAATACAAAGACATCGCCCTTGGCTGAAAAAATGCTAGTCACAAATTGCTGCACGGATATATAGACTATACCTAGGAAACATTCCTTTGTAATTGCCCTGTATTTCTAATCTACTGTTATTTATCTGCCTTTAGTCATCATCAGAAGTGGAGTGCTGACTCAGTATGGCAATTCCTATATACATATGATAAAGAAAATAAACCAAACAGTGTTAAATTTTCTTGTCATTTTCATTGCTAAAGCATTTCTTGTTTTGCTTAAAGAGATTTCTGATAAAGTCAGCTAAACTAAAATAACTGTTCAGCTTTTTTAGTTGTTTAATTTCTTTAAAAACTAGGGAGGGCATCCGTCTTGATTAATTGTTTTTTTCCTATACCGCTACAATTTTATTGTGTTGTTGGTTTGGTGTTTTTTTAACGGTGTTCTCATCTGTCAAATGTAGTGTCTTTTTGAATTATGCAGATTAGCAATGAAGTGTTGCAGAAGCAAGTGATATTCTACAATCGAGGCAGCTGTATCGTTTCTGAAACCTGGCTTTTATTCAGCCAGCTGTGCTGTTTTTTTTCTGCCAACTTGAGGGTTATACTGTAACTTGTTCTCTGTATTTTTCCAACATTTAATATGCTACTAATAGCAAGATGGGAAGTGTCTGCTTTTCTTCAGAGTAAGTATCTTAAAATATAGTTTGGGACATTGTCTTTCAATTTCTGACTTAAGAGAGGTTGTCTAGAACTTCTCATAGTGGAGTTTTGTCGTTTCCTCTGTCAGTACAAAAACTAACAGTGATATGAAGTGCAGCTCCCTGTGTTCTCATGTAGCTTTTGTTAGGTACAGCTTTTGCTGAGTCTTGGTAGGCAAGTTTGCTGCATTACTTTTAAACATTTACCGTATTCCAATCCAGCAGAGACTTTGTGCTACATATATGAAGTAGTGAATACATAGTGTGCGTGAATCTGCTTGAAAGATGCAAACAATTCTTTTAAGAGTTTTAGTGGATGTACACAGCATAACTGAGAATCACAAAAACACAGAGGAAACTGAAAATGCCTGAATTTCAGTTCTTCTGTTACCCACTTGGTCAAACAGATAAATTCCTCTTGAAAGCAGACTACAGGATGCCTGTACAGCATCAGTCTTCGGTATTTTAATTTGTAGAAGCCATAAATATTTTCTAGTGCATCTTGCGCAGTAGATTTAAACTTCTAGCTTAATAGCAGTATGCATAGCTTTTCTTCTTTACCTGCTTCAGATTTCGAAGTAGTCCACAAACCTGTTAGGAAAACTACTGCTATATAATCATAAAAATACTATTCTTTTCTTAATTTATCATGTCCATAACCTTATAGATGACCTTAATTTGAATTTCTGTTTCTTTTGATATACCATAGTGGCAAACTTTTTTTCTCATGGTTTTGATGTCTATTTCTGTAGAACTAACTCTACCTGTTGTAGAATTTGGCAGGCCATGTAACCTGTTAGTCTGCTAGGTACTGTATCTGTAGATTTCTCTTACTGAGTAAATGTGGTTGAATATGTTATAGTGGCACAGTCAACAGAGGATAGACTATGTATTTTACATGTTCGTTCTAAGACTTTTCTTGCCCCTAGCCCCAGCTGGTGCAGTGGGATTTTTAATGGAAAATTATTTCATGCGTCAGAATAATCTGAACATCTGCTGTTCCTGTTCTAGCAGTATGAGAAAACCATATGTTCAGTCTGGAGCTTTCTGTAATATCCCTAGTATCTGTTTTTCGGGTCTTGTTCACCTTGTGTGAGGTTTCAAGGGTAGATGGTGAAAAAAACAGCAGGAAACAGGCGTTGCTGCTGGTCACCTTATGTTGAGGTACAAAGTTAGCTAACATTTGTATATTGTTTGAATCTTAGTTGTCTTACACTTAATGAAATTATTATTGCTACAGGAGTAGATGTTATGATGAAGTAGAAATTTTTCAAAAATGTAGGAAGGGATTAGAAGATGCAAGCAGTACAATCACTCAGGTTGTGTGGGTTTGAGATTTTGTTTGGACATAAAGTGTACTGTGTTGCCTTGATCTGTTCCTTACTAGTCTTATCTACAGAAATAACTTCACAAAGAATTTGAATTATCAGGACAAAAAAATGTGCTTGAAGTTTAATTATCTTATTTTAATAGCAGGTTCCTCACCTAGCTCCAGCAGCAGCTCCTCTGTTAATCCAATGGCTTCTCTTGGAGCATTGCAGACGCTGGCAGGAGCTACAGCAGGCCTCAACGTTAGCTCTTTAGCAGGTAAGCTATGTGTTGTGGTGGGCTGGGGGAAGAGCTGATTGTCATTCCTCAGGCTGTGCTAGTTCTGTGCGATTTTTTTCTGCTCCCTGCTTTTTGTCATAATGCAGAGTGTCTGAAAAATAATTGGTCTGGCTCAATGGAGGTACTCAGTCATGTTATTTCCTCTTTCTTATGCAGGAATGGCAGCCTTAAACGGAGGACTTGGCAGTGGTGGTCTCTCGAACGGGACAGGTAGCACAATGGAAGCCCTCACGCAGGCTTATTCTGGAATCCAGCAATATGCTGCTGCTGCATTGCCCACACTCTATAACCAGAGTCTCTTAACACAGCAGAGTATTGGTGCAGCAGGAAGTCAAAAAGAAGGTAGGCAGAAAGTTGTAGAAACAACCTGAGATGGGGTTTCGAAAGGGGGAGCTCAGCCCTTGCACCACCTTATCTGCATAGCTTTATTTGGCAGCATTTTGTAGAATCCTAGAATTACTGAAGGTGAAGAAGGAAAGCCTGTGAGGTTTCTCTGTTAAGTGCTGTCCAAAGTAGTTTTTGTACAGGAGGGTTCTTCCAGGGTTTGTCTGGTCTTTAATGCTTAGTAATCGTACTCCTCCATTTTCTCAGAGGACAGGAGAGTGTGAGTCTGTAGCCTGGCAGATCCCACTGTCAGAAAACCACTTGTGGTTTTGTTAATTTTGTTGTCTTGGTCCTTCACCTCTTCCCACAGATACTTCATGCCAATCTCTTTACCCTTCAGATTCAAAATCAGTTTAACACATAGTGTAAAGTAGTGAAGAATATAGGACTAAGTTTTCAGCAGAGTGTAGGATGATGTTCAGAAAAGAATCTGTCAGATTACAAGTAATGCAATTACTTGTATTTTATATTGAGATTTACTTAGTTTCTCTGGGCCACAAGCTTAACATAGCCCTTTTTGGTTTAGTCAGCATCTGGGGCTCAAACTTACTGTTCAGCTTTTATTACAGCAAAGATCTGTGAACCAATTTTGGCACAATGTGGAAATTGCAAGCAAAAATGGTGCTAAAAAAAAAAAAGAGCTAGAATTGAATGGTTAATCCCAGCAAAAGGGTCATGCTGATTTATTCTGGAATCAAGTACTCCACAGAAGTGCAAACAGCAGGTTCATTGTTTTATCTAGAAAATTTGGCTGGAGTGGCTCTTTCACTTTTTTATTTTTTGTGAAGTGGATGTCTGTTGTCCATGCTCTTTCTGAATTTATATTCCTACTTGTTGTTTGAAGGTCCAGAGGGAGCCAATCTGTTTATCTACCATCTCCCCCAGGAGTTTGGGGATCAGGATCTGCTGCAGATGTTCATGCCATTTGGAAATGTTGTCTCTGCCAAGGTTTTCATTGACAAGCAGACCAATCTAAGCAAGTGTTTTGGTATGTTGGGTTTAATTACCTGTAGAAAGGTGGCTGCTTTCTCGTAATCTCTTTTCCAGTATATTGTCTAGTCTAGCTTTTAATTCAGGTAGTGAATCCTTCTCTATAGTCTTAAAAAACAAAGAAATAAATCCAAGCTCTTTCAGCAATGAACTGTATCTTCCTGATCTTCATTGTGACTTTTTGCTTTTCCTGATTTCATATTGTTATGCCTCATTATACTGTTTTGGCCCTATGTAATTCACTATGATTCATGTTTGCAGACTGTAATCATGGTATAGTTCCTCCTCTTCTCCCTTTCTGTCTTTTCACTAATTGTTATGTTGCTGTATGTACTATTTACTGTGCTATCATTATGAATGATTTCTATTAATATTTTTATATATCATTTTTATGGCTTCCACATAGTACAGGAGCATTTTGAGGTTTTGTAAATGCTCCGAAGGCATTTTTTAAAGCCTCCTCCTAATTTTTAAAGCGTCCTCCTAATTATTGAGAGCTTTGTAATAGTAAAACCATTTCAGCTGTTATTTATTACCTAACTTTGGTTGCATCTCGTATCCTAATTTTGCTCTGCTTATTGTGTATTTAGATGGGAGGCACATCAGGGTGGGAGGTGTATCCTGCTGTACATCAACCTGTCGTGCTACTGTTACAATCCAAGCAGACTATTTTCAGTTAACTGCTAAAGTCTGTGATGCCATAAGAGCAAAGAACGTATTCTTCCTTAGCTTGTGTAGTAGGAGGCTGCATATGGACCAAAATATTCATGGTTTTGTTTTCCTCACTTTGAAATCTCAGTGCAAGCAGTTGTAGCGTTTTTGTAGTGCTGTAAGCTCTCGTGACTATTTTGATAGATGGAGATTTCTAGTGATGGTATAGGAGAGGTGAGCCTTTCTCTATGATTTTGATAGCTTTGTGCCTACATAATATCCTGTATTTTTTTAGTATTTGAGCCAAAAGATGTGGACAATCTGATGCTTTGTGAGAACACAAATACATGCTGAGCATGAGGCTGTAACACCTGCATATGAAATGCTTTCCCCAGCTAGTGATGCCAGCCATTGACTGGAGTTGTTTAAAATAGGTTCCTTCAAAAA